GCTACCCGGAATCGAACCCGTGACCTTTGAATGAGAGGCCAACACCTTAACCTCTAGGCCACGAGAGCCCCCCTTCCCTCTTTGCTTACTGATAATTATAACATCTCGTACAGCACAGTCAGTTTGAGCTAGCAAATTTATAGTGAAATGCAGCGTTTCTTTGCAACCTTAATTTTTGGGGGTTATTTTTTTTGGTTTCGTTTGTTTTAGTGAGAGTTTAATGGCACTTGCAACACAAATAAGTCATACAAAAGAAACCAAGATTAAAGCTGGTAGAAGAGAGTTAAATCCAAACAAACGAAGTCGGGGAGAAAAGGACGTTGGGTGTTTGATAGTAAACAAGAAACAAACAAGCAACCCACATATTACAGTGCACTTGACACTTAACCTAGATACTTTATGATGGTTTGGGGGGAGGGGGGAGGGGGGAGACTTGTAGACATAGACATGTATTATACTATCCAGGACTGTGCATTCTGACTTTTCGCCATGTTTTGAGACTGCCAGAGACAATGAAAACTGCCCTATCAACGCACAGAGTAATAATAAGATGAGTTCGGAGGCTTGTGTAGAGACACGTTTCTGATAATGATGATAGGTGAACGTATACTTTGTTTCCCGATTGTTGTTGTTGTTTTTTATCACGTTCCCGAGAAAGCCCACAAGGGCAAATTGTTGAACATACTCAATAAAGTTGTAAAACTTCAAATACTGAAGTCTCTACAAATTCTATTTTTTTAATCTCATCGTGATGATAATGTTGATGATCACTCATTCACTCCCCTCCCCACCCCCCACCCCCAATCGCACAAATACACACACACACACACACACACACACACACACACACACACACACACACACACACACACACACATACATGTACGCCTACACATGAACACACCTATCTCTATCGTCTTTTTCTCCCACTTCACCCCCCACCCCCACCAGGTACTCCACTAAGCGTCGGTGCGTCCACTCCACCATCGGCTCTCTTCTCCGACTCTGTGTCCGCGTCCTCTACACCGCTTTGATTGGTGTTACCATGGCAGCCGTCTCTTTGGGATATCATCATGCCGATCACGTGATAGGGGCGGCGCTGTGTGCTGGTAGGTTTATATACCTCTACGCATGAAGCAAAAGCTGGGTCCAAATCTGATCGATCAAGTATTTGACCTAAAGGCATACCCTCAAACAACGAGTGCACAAGGCAAATCGAATTCGGTTTAACCGAGTCCGGGCCGGTTTGATTCTCCTCCATGAAAGGGCAATCGCTATAATAACGCATAACGCTACTATTTTGGCATATTACAACCTATTTGACTCATGACCTTTTAAATCAAACGCACTTGATTTTGAAGTTCACAATCGAACCTAGCACATAATTCGGTCGAATTGTGCTCAAATGATAGCTTTTACCGCTCATGGAAAAAAGTCTGGCTGGCCCAAACTCAATTAAAAGAATTCAATTGGCAGTTTAGTACTTGGATACCTTGGGGGTGTCATTTCTGGCTCAGAGGTTGAGGTACGATGACCCGCCTGTGCTTTCGGTCGCTAGCTGCCCGTTTTATCTTCAGTCATACTTACGCCAGTCTATGTTTTGATGTTATCGGGCCATGCCGTTCTTTGTCCTCCGCCCTTAGCCCACTTTAGCAATGTAAAAAAGGTATATATAATGCACAGTAGAATTGTAAATGGGCTAATTTATCAATGTCATGCTCATACGGTGCCGGAACAATATAGGGAGAACTGCTGCTTTTTCTTTCCTCATCCTTACTATCGTCATTTTTGGCTCTACTTAACAATGACAATGACAATCTTTATTCACGTCTCAGGTAGAAATTTGTCTTGGTCGTTAACAATGGCAGTAGACGTTACAAAAGTTAGACCTAAAGGTGCACTCACGCAAACGCTCAACAAGACAGGACATTAGTAAATACATGTTTCATGTGCTAGGACAACCCACTCTGTATAACATTCTCTCTCTCCCTCCCTCCCTCTTTCTCTCCCCCCTCTCTCTCTCTGTCTCTCTCTCTCTCTATCTCTCTATCTCTCTCTCTCTCTTTTTTGGAAATGTATACTTCTTTTTTATGTCTGTCACTCTCTTGAGAAATGCTACTCTCGGATAGTCGAAGCTGAGCAGAGTAAGTAAGCCTGATTCCCCGTTTGGACTTCTCTGTTGACACTCACCTCTTTGCGCTCATGTGACGTTATTATTCAGTTTTGAGCGCCGTAAAACCTTTCTAAAACAAACGGACACCGTATCACGTTCTATTTGCCAGTGTGGCTGTTTAGCATCGCCTTCACGCGGGCTTTGCAGCCTATCCACTTCTACTGGCGGATGATCAAAACCATGTTCATCAGAGACATCGTCCGCTTCCTGCTCCTCTACTTCCTCGTTGTGCTGGCCTTCACCTTCGCCTTCCACTCAATTTTCTCTGGTGAGTGCTGGTGCATTGATGAATGTAGGCTATTGATTATGTTGATACGTATTATCATAACAATATACTGCTG